AGAAAAAGCCTAGTGTAAAGCATTTAAAGGTGTTTGGTTCAATTTGTTGGAGACACATTCCTGATGAAAGAAGAAGGAAACTTGATGAAAGGAGCATGAAATTAATTCTGGTTGTAAGAGGTTGTTTCAAAGCCCATGCATCTCTTCCTACCATCAACCGCTTCAATATCACCCAACATTGCATCTTCCTGCGATGATCCATCATCACTATGTGACTCTTGTTCCGTTTACACACACTTTTTTCCTTATTCTTCTTCTCAAAGTCAAGACGATCTCTCTTGTTAGTGTTACCCTTAAGCATACACTCCTTCTCATTCTTGAACTCTCTTTTATTAACATTATCCACACCCTCCTTCTCATTCTTGAACTCTCTTTTGTTAACATTATCCACAGCCTCCTTCTCATTACACTCGCTTCTTGATGATGATGATGGGTTTTCAGCATTAACCCATATTGCCGCCGCATAATAACCCTTCTTATTCTTCAGTTCACATACTTTTGATATTACTCTTGAAGAATATTCAGTGCTACATTTTGGCTTTGGCTTTTCACACGTTCCTTCTTCACGCTTTTCAGATGCAGGTAAGTAAAGCTTTATTATCAGTTTTTTTCGCCACTGTTCAGTGCTCTCAGCCATTGAAGATCCACCAATTTGATGAATTGAACAAGAATGAAAACTTAAAAGAGTTAAAGGTGGCCGTGGCTGTTTATAGTGGGAATGAAATTTCAGCGGGAATATTTTTGTTTTTGAAGACAAACCTTTCGATATATATGATTTTATAATTACTTCAATAAGTAATAATTACGATAAATTCGAATTTTGTTTTTAAAAAATAACATCATGATCCCCAAAAGAAGGAAATTATTGATTAAGATTGTGTTCAAATAAATTGTTTTACATATTTTGTTGAAATGCTATGAAAGCGCTGGCAGGGGATTTCTTTTTTGTTTGTTCGTGTTTGAAGACAAGCTGATAGATACGATCTTATGTGATAATTAAGATACAATTGAAATTTTGTGTTTAAAGATATCCAAAAGAAGGAAACTGTTGATAAAGATTGTGCTTCAAATAACTTTTTTTACATTCAATATTTTTAGCAAATCAACTTCAGATATAATTAGAATGAAATCAACTCGAATTTCACGAACTGAAAACGATGCAGCCAAAGAGAGCATTTGTAATGATAAATACCTTGGCATATTTCACAAGATATATTTTTATTATATAACTATTGTTGATGATAATTTTAAAATAGTATATATATATATATATATATATATATTATTACTTT